TTCTGTTCTCGGGGATCCTTTTCTTTCTAACGCTGAACTCGGCTTCTTATCTTTCTTCTCTTCTCGAGGGTCGGGGAGGGCTTTTGCCTTTGCCGCCTGCAAGAAATCAGCCTCTGCTTCCTCCACATTCATATATTTGGCGCACCTCCCTAGGACCTTGTCGAAGGTCCTCCCAGGTCGCTTTGCCAAAGATTTTCTGCACAGTCCTGGGAGCAATCCCCGGGTAAGTCCACCCGATTTAATTTCCTCAGTGGCCGAAGGCACATCGACACACGCTCCTGTGTACCTCGCCACATAATCTCGCAATGACTCTCCCTCCTTCTGTTGCATACCTATCAGAGTAAGATAAGATTTTTCCTGGGCCTTCACGCTGGCAAATTGATTCAAGAAACTCGAGCTGAATCCATTAAAGTCCCTGACGGCTCTTGGAGGTAACTGATGGAACCAATCTTGCGCAGGTCCCCGTAGGGTCGTCAAGAACGCTCGGCATTGAACGGGATCATTATAGCGGTGTAGTACTGCCATGTTTTCAAAACTCCTTAGATGTCGAGAGGGATCAGTCGACCCATCGTACCAGATGTTAAGCTCCCTGAATCCCTAAGGTAAGTCAGCATCTAGAATGTGCTGTGAGAAGGGATGTTCTCTCGAGCTCCCCGTCTTTCTTCCCTCGACTCGGGCCTGTAGATCTCGCACCTGAGCTAGCAACTACTCTAGCGTGTCATTTCTTGCCTGTGGATTGATAGTTCTGACAGAGGATTTTTCCTCGTCCGCCCTCCTACTCTGTCTTTCCTGGGATTGAGCTTGCTGTTCACGCTCTGGGGGAAGCTGTTCGATTCGAGGCTGCTCGACCCTGGGCTGGTCGACTGGTGTCTGTTTGAGTTAGGCCGCTACTGCCTCTGCAATCATTCTCTGCATCTCGCTCCTCGTCATGGTTAGTGTTTTCTCTTCGATTTGGGGTGGCGGTCTTGTTTCCTGTTCAAGTCGCCCGGACTGTTTCCCTGATCTCTAAGATGCCTCGGTCAATGCCTGGCCATCAACTTCACCGCTCGTGTCCTTCACGTGACTGGCCTCCCCTTGAGTGCGCACTGGGATCTTGACTCCAGGTGGGGTGATAGGTGTCTCCTCCCCCATATGTGCTCCTGACGGCGCGTGTGCTCCGAATGGTGGGAAACCAAACACTTGGAGCGGTGGCCTGGGGTTGGGAATCGGCGGAGGCCTTTTGTCCGTCCACGTTGCCCTGAAATCCTCATTCAAATTCTTTTGCAGTCCCTCCTTCTCAGCCATTAGAGACAGATCAAAGCTAGGTGTAAAGCTCTTAATTCCTTCAAGAACTCCCCACAGACGGCACCAAAATGATGGGTCTCTTCCCAGATCTAGAGCGAACCGGTGGAAACAGGCCCAGATCTAGAACGAACCGATGAGAATGAGCTTAGATCTGTCGTCTTCACCTTCAAACCGCTACTGAACCGCGAGAAAACCTGCAAGAACTCAATGCCGGAGGGGTTCCGGCGTAGAGCCTCCGACGCTCAAGTCAGTATATGAGAGAGATGAAGAGAGATGCTCTAAGAGAGCCGCAACAGTAATGGAGGAGAGTATGAAATGAATGGGAGTTAGGGTTTTGGGGTTACCTCAGCTCCTTTATATAGGAGCAAGACATTTACCTGAAGTTCCTAAAATGCCCTGGCCTACTTACTAGAAATGTCCAAAATACCCTGGTCAGTTCGCATTCCGCCTCTCTACTAGTCAGCATTTAGATTCCCTCTTATCCTCAGCATCTTTCTTATGATATATCAAAGTGTATCGAATCACCGGGGGTCTATGAGCCTCGGGACTTCCTCAGTCGACTCGGGATACCAAGTCGAGTCGACGGGGTCACCTTCAGTCGTCGGTAGACCCTGATGCGCTTATCCTCCTCTCCAGGGAAATCGACTTATTTTAGTTCGACACGTGGAAGTCGACCGAGGGATGCCTGGACCCCTGACCAGAAATACTATAGGGAGTCTGCGGAGAGAGTCGACTTTACCCAAGTCGACTCGGTTATTTCCGAACTGTCTGTCATATAAACTGTTATACGACAGTATGGCTATATCAAATATTTAGCTGAAAATGCATGTTATTTAAAAACCTATCATAAAGAACAAGTTAAATTCTGAAAATATTATGATAAGTAATGCATCATAAAAAGAGAATGCTCAGAAAGTTTCAGCAATTTACAGCAACTAATAAATTTATCATAATTAAAATGAAATTCAGCAGAAAACTACAAATAATTATATACCCCAACTAAGTAAGTCCAAAAATCACAAAAGTCTTACACAATATCAAATGAATATAGAAGAACAACATATTTAAAAATAAGCCATACAACTCAATTTATTATGAAATTTATATGGTTCTGCCCAAAAACTGAAATAATTAACTAAAATAGCTAAAGATGGTATTAAATTCTGAAATTTTTACACGACATGTAGTATCCACACAGGACATCTAAAAAAATTTCATGACAATCGGAGCAGTATAAAATTTATCATGAATTTATTAAAATTCAGTAGTTATTCGAGTTTCGAAAATTCACAAACGACTCCACAGTCATCGAAATCGTCCGAGGCCTTCACTAACAGTCCAAGGACTCAATAATGGTTCCAATAATGCAGCACTTACACGAATTAAAGGGGATCTCGATCGATATCTCCAAAATCGAATGTATCCCAACAATAAACACATCACATATTACCTAACATTCATAATATCAAAAAGGGCACCACAATTAACGAATATAAACACATCAATTCGAGGGGGTTAATCAGCCCGGGTACCCTTCTCGGGATGAGGACACGCAAAAGAGTCGATCTGGGGCTGAAACAGACCGCATGAGGGAGCTCGACAACTTCGTTTGGCTCACCGACAGAACACAAGTCTCGGGACAGCAAGCTTAGCCGCGGTTGTGCATGTGAGACTCCGAAAAAAGCTGCTTGTAGGGACGATGAACAGTGGGACTTTGTCGATGAAATCAACGTTTGCGAGCAACAACTCGCGAGCAGGGACAACAGGGCTTGGTCATCGATGGCGACTTCACGCAGGATGCAAATCGCGGGGGTCGTTTGGGACAGAGAACGCAGGTTGCAAGTTCACGTCGAGCCTGCTAGAGGGGAAACTTCTCAGCAGTTGCTGTTGGCTTCTCCTTTGCGTGGTGACCGGCGAGGGTGATAATCACGCGGTGAACGACGGCGCGCTGGGGCTACTCGCGACGAAGGTACGCGCCTGCTTGGGATGGGAGCAAAGAGAGACGTTACCTGCTGGCGAGAGAAAAGATGGAGGCCTGCTTGCGTGAATGATGATGATGACGGTGTGACGATGAGTTCTCTGCTTGGTTTAGCGACGCGAAAAAATTTAGAGAGAGAGAGATGAGGACAAGAGATATAGTGGCGAGGGATTGCAGATAATAAAAGTTGCGGGATGACAATTGTTTGCTGAGGGCTTTAACGGGGTGAGGGAATTCTCATACCTAAATAATAGTAGGGTTCAAACAAATATAACATCTTGTCCAACAAGATAACCCAAGCACAAGAAAGAGAGCCGATTCAGTTAAGGGTTCGGGGCGCGGACGTGCAGGTACAAAGACCGGGCCTTCTCGGATCATCAATAATAAATAATTGAGGCTCGATATGATCGTTCGATAATCAAAATAAAAACGGGATAGCTATATATATAATACACATAATAATATTTATTAATAATACATATAATAATATAAAATAATATTAAGCATCAAACACATAATTACAATTAGACAATTTAGACAAATAATAATAATAATAATAATAATAATAATAATAATAATAATAATAATAATAATAGTAATAATAATAATAATCATAAGAGCAATTAGACAATTAGATAAATAATTGTAATAAT